TCGAGTGTTAACGAACACTGCCTCAACCTTTTCTCGCACATTCATCTCCAGACGTTTTACAATTGCTGTTATATTTCTGTCTCTTTGCATTTAGCGTTCCACTCCACATTTACTGCCATTTTAATTACCATCTCAACCCATCAAAAGAAAACTTTTTCTTTTGTGAGCATTGCTTTCGGCCTTGATTGAAAAGAAATGCATTTGGATTAAATACGAGGAATTATTAATTGCTCTTGCAGACATGACGCCAAAGTATATTTTTGTCGCAGCTTGCAATGGTGGTTTCTGTTATAAGAAGGACTCTCCATTGAATTCTTTCAATTTAACGAAAAGGTAATCAGATATGAATAAACTGATCATAAGGTAAAACTTAATGAATTGATCGTATGATAAATGGACTGATAAAAGTGACGAATTGATTGTAATATAAATCGTCAGACGATATTTTAATGAATTTATCTTAAAGATAATGGTCATAAGTTAAATCGTAAGAACAATTAAAGATCGATGATCTTAAGATGAATACATCAATCGTAAGATTAATGAATTGATCATAAGATAAATCATAATGTATTTGAATAAACAGATCAAAATATAAATCATATGTATAAATCAACTGGCTTTACGATTGTCGTATGTTCTCTAATCTTTTCATTTAATATTTCATATAAATATCTTGAACACTCTCCTGTGTAATTTTGTGACTTTTATTTCAGGCTATAGCGTATTACGTTCTTGATGGAATCTTCTATCAATATTTCGAAATGGGATGCGGTAGTCGGGGATCGAGTCGGATGGAGAGCTGCTATTTTCGTGGGTGGAAAGCGCTATGAAGAGAATGGAGTCCAGCGCAGCGTAGAGGCTAGACAAAGACGCAAATACTCCACGCTGGGCCGGCTCGTGTTTAATCGGGTCGGATGGCCGGACGAAGGATTAATGAAAAATTAAGAAAAATTATTGCAGACCCTGTCAACCTAAATATTTAAAACCATAATGAAAATAAACATTGGTCGGAACGTCAAAATACTTCAAAAGTGAAAAAATCAACCGGACGTAGGTTTGAAACGGTTAACACACACACACACACACACACACAAACACACAAAAATTAAGAAAATTGTACCCATACATGCGAGTACAAATAGTTGCACATACGTACACATGCGGTATCATCCACACATTCATGAGGCATGTATGTACCTGTCAACCCTCCCTGACCTCTTCATTTTAATCTTTAAAATCATAAATGAAATATGTATCCATTGTGAAAAACGTAGAAAATAAAATAAGAAATCATAAAAAATAAAAGAAAATCTAAAAAATATAATAAATTTCATTTGAAGATTCTCTCAAAAAAACCCTAAATTGCCGAAAAATTACTTTTCCTCCTGTCTTAATAGTAAATCTGATCTGTCCGATAAGTTCAAATTGGCATCTAAAAAAAATTACCTTAAATCTTTCATCAAACTTACTGAATGATAACCTCCAGGAGAGAGACATTGCGTTTTCTCAGACTAACGTCTTCCGATGACATGAAGAAGAAACAGTATATTTAATCAAATCCTATGTCGGCTGCTAAGAAAGTTGGTTCAATATATTATGCTAGACATCTGAATCGATCTTACACATTAATATGTCTACCATTCACCCCTGATCTGAATATAGCTGCCACATCTGGTCTTGTGCTTCTGATATATATTTAGAGATTCTTGATAAACCCAAAGAAGAATCTGCAATGTTACTGGTCCTGATCTGGCATATCGTCTTTAGTCACTTTCTCATCGCTGTAATGTAGTTTCCCTCTGCGTTTTCTATAAATAATTTCATCGTTATTGTTCAGATGAACCTTCCTTTATGGTATCTAGACTTTATGAATTTCAGTGCAGTACTAGATTGACAGCTAGGTCCCATCATTTTAAAATTGATATGGTAATATATAACCGAAGGTTTTATGCTAACAGTTTCTTCTCACTCGTAGAACTCTCTTCTTGTTTCTTGTTTCACAAGCGACTTCGATTTTCAAACATTGAAATGCAATGTCAATCGTTATTTTCTGTCTTCTTAATTCTTCTTCATTTATTGAGCTTCCTCCTTAACAACCCAAGATGCGAATTAAGAATTTTATTTTTTATTGTGCTCCCTCCTTAAGAACCCAAGATTCGAATTAAGAATTTTGTTAATTTATTGTGGTCTCTTCTTAACGAACCAAGATGCGAGTTACGGATTTTGTTAATTTATTGTGTCTCTCCTTAACAAACCAAGATACGAGTTATGAATTAGAGATGTCAACATCAAACAACTACAGACGTTTATATATCTGTGAAGTATCTTAGCGAAGGATGGAAAATGCGACAATGAAATTTAAAAAAACGCATTGGACTCGCGAAAGTTTCGTTCTGAATGCTGAACAAATTACTCAGAAAGAGAAAAAGGTCGTTAGAAACAAAGAGCGCAGGATTGCTATGTGTTATGGTCCAGGTCCTTGTACTACGGTGATGGTCCAAGGTAGAACCAATAAAGAAGAACTCGAACACGGATATAGAATAACACAGATGTATTACAAACAGGAATATATACAGAGAAGTAGAAAGTGTTAATACGAATAATCAGGTTTAGTAGGGAGAACAATGTAGTCTCGACCAGGATCACTATTCCAATGTCTTGTAGTAATTGTCTGAACGCGACTCTGTTTCGGACTGCCTCTGACTCAACTGACTTACTCGCTCGCTCTGACTGACTGACGGACTTCTGAAGGACCTCACTCCAGACTGAACAGTATTTAGTCACCCCACCACGAGGACATCATGTGGCACAAGGCCGGTTTAACGTGGGATCTCCGAGCCCGTGCGCTCAGCCAAAAATATGCCCCTTGAACCCGCATAAACGGGTTCAGGGTCGGTTTACCTCCCCGAAAAAGTCCGCCCTTCGGCGTAGCCTCGTTCGGATTCCTCCCCGCCCGAAGGCAGAGAGTTCAACCGATCAGCCGATCCGCCGGTCGCCCGACTTCGGTCTGAACTCTGTGCTTCCTCTTGATGCGCAGTATTTATTACGTATGGAATAGTCCATTATGTTATTATGGGTAAGGTCCCATAACACTATGTGATATCCATCCTCTTGTAAGGCAGTGGATGCTGGACAATCTCCCCACAGATGAAGAGAATACAAAACAACATAAATGTGGTTCTACAAAAGAATACTTAGGATTCCATAGACGGAGTGAGTAAGCAACGAGAAATTCAAAAAGAAAATGGCAATAGAAAAACATGTACATTCAGAAGCAGTAACAGATAACTGAATTTTTTGACGGCACGGGTAAACTGATAAATAAATAATACAACAACGCTCTCAGCAATCGTTCAAACCTACCTTTCTTCCAGGAAGCTGAGTTTCTAGGATTGATTCTGGAGACAATACTGACTTTTGCATTGAAAATTGTCATATGTCAATTTACTTCTAAATTTTTTTCAACAGTCTCCTTATGATTAGTAGATGCTATATTTATCATTACAATTGGTTTCGAAAAACGTAAATTGCTTATGACTCAGTCTGATAGTAGCAGAAGTCAGACAGGTATATTCCTATCTTACATTAAAGGATACTTAATTAAACAATCTATAAATGATTGGAGGACGAATTAAATATTATTAAATTCTAGGGAAGGAAACTCCTACTTAATAAGCAATATAATATTATTTAAGAAATCAAACAATAGTTATTAAAACATTGTGACTTGCTAGACAATTTTTCTCTCCAGAATCTATCTATCTATCTATCTATCTATCTATCTATCTATCTATCTATCTATCTTCGACCTTTTTCTATCTATCTATCTATCTATCTATCTATCTATCTATCTATCTATCTTCAGCCTTTTTTTTATATCTATCTATCTATCTATCTATCTATCTATCTATCTATATCCAGCCTGTTCCTATCTATCTATCTATCTATCTATCTATCTATCTATCTATCTTCAGCCTTTTTTTATATCTATCTATCTATCTATCTATCTATCTATCTATCTATCTATCTATCTATCTATCTATCTCCAGCCTGTTCCTATCTATCTATCTATCTATCTATCTATCTATCTATCTATCTATCTATCTATCTAGATATTATTTTAGTCGGAAAGTAATGTCGCTTTAGCATAAATGTTTAAAGACATATCAAATAAACTGGTTTAAATATTAGGGCTTTCAGAAAGTAAACTCTTGTATCTTAGTGGATTTATTGCCTTACTTGGGGTTAAATTATTTTTAAAACTTCCTTAAACACTGTATTACATATCTATAAGTCTACCATTTGAGAAACCCCTCTCTGTTTTCCATCAGCATAGTTAATGTTATCTCCCAACAAAATGACTCATTGCGAGTTTACGGGTTAATGTTCTCAGCTGGCATGATGTGGAAAGACTACATTGCACCCGTCGCTAGATCAGCTACAAAGACATTTGCTTCACCGTGTCGGGCGAGACAAGTTTTCTCTCCGGAATCTATCTTTCGTATCGGTCAGTCTACCATTTATGCTTCCTTTGAACATTGCTGCCACGTATGGCCCGGTCCTCCCGGTATATATTTAGAGATTCTTCATAAAATCCAGACTCCGCAATTTTATAGGTGCTGACCCGACATCTCGTCTTCAGTCCCTTTCAAACCGGCGAAACACAGTTTCCGTGTCTTTTCTATAAATACTTTCATGTTTATTGTTCTGGTGAAATTTTCTCTATGTTTCCTAGACTTCATCAATTTAAACGCTGTTATAGATTGACGTACGATCTCATATTTTGCATTTGAAACTAGGTGCAACTGTAAGTTCTATCTTAACAGATCCTTCTCTCGCACTTCTTGTGTGTGTAACTCTCTTCCGCCATCTTGATTTGCAGTCAAATTTGATCTTTAAATATTTAAATACAATGTCAATCGTTATCTACTGTCTTGTCTATTCATCTTAATTTATTATATTTTATATTATAATTATTTTTGTTCTTAAGATTTAAT